CTGTACGTCTGTAGCTCTTAGACCTGCAGTTTCTGCCTCAACCTCACCTATTAAGGAACAGTTTCCCTTGTTCTAGGGGTGATACATGGCTTTTTTTTTCTTTTTTGCCTTTTGCTTTTGTAGACAGGGTTTTACTGTGTAACCCTGGCTCTCACACTGTAGACCTGGGAGGCCTTGAATTCAGAGATTCCCCTGCCTCAGCCTCCTGAGTGTTGGGATTAAAGGGGTGTGCCACCACTGCCAGCTGACGCATAGCTTTTTCTAGAGTTGTATGTATGGGTCCAACCCCGCCTCTACGTCTTTGGTTCCTAGTGAGATTGGGAAGAAAGGGATCAGTTGTTAAGAATGTCATTCAAGGTTAGCCAGGCATTGGTAAAGCTTGTCTTTAATTCCAGCACTCAGGAGGCAGAGGCAGGGTGATCTCTGAGTTCAAGGCCAGCCTGGTCTATAGAGTGAGTTCAAGGACAGCCAGGGCTACATAGAGAAACCCTGTCTTAAAAAACAAAACAAAGAAACAAACAAAAGGAATATCATACAAGGGCTGGAGGGATTGCTCAGTGGTTAGGAGCACCTGCTGCTCTCCCAAGGGACCAGGCTCCAATTCCCAGCACTCACACGGAAACTCACAGTTCCCGGGGTCCAACGCTTTCTTCTGACCTCCATATGTGGTGCAGATATTCAGGAACTTTTCTTTTTCTCCTCCCGAGACAGGGTTTCACTGTGTAGCCCTGGCTGTGCTGGAATTTGCTCTGTAGACCAGGCTGGCCTCAAACTCACAGAGATCCACTGCCTCTGCCTCCCGAGTGCTGGGAGTACAGGTGTGCACCACCATTGCCTGACTGAGTATATGCCTCTTTTCCTGGCTGTAGTGATCAACCTTGACTGTGCCCTCAGACCATTTGTGAAGCTTTTCAGAGTCCCCATGTCCAGACCGTGGCACAGGTCAATTAAAACAGAGCTTCCGAGGCTAGGAGTTAGGGTAGCAGGCCTCAGTATTTTTTTTACAAAGGCTTTCCAGGTAACTAAGATTGCAGTCAGTGTTGGGCGCTCAAGAGCTGCCTCCCTCTCCCTACCCAGCATTAAGCTGAGCTGGAAAAGATTGCTGTCATCATTAAGCTCCCCAGACTTTTGCTCCCTAGCTCAGCCATCGCCTATGTAACTGGGCACCTGCTTCATGCCAGGTGCTGCGGGGATATGCCTTCTCCTTTATGGTCCTAAATCTCAAATGTTAGCAAGGGGGTTGCTAACTAAAGAGATGCCAGGAATGTGAGCCACCATGTGAGTCACTGGGAATTGAACTCAGAACCTCTGGAAAAGCTGCCAGTGCTCTTAACCTCTGAGCCATCTCTCCAGCCTCTGAGAGGCCGGGAATGTGTAGTGAGAGCCATGGGCATGGTAAAAGGCTGAGGAAGCTCAGAGGATATGGGCTCAACACCCAGGAAGAGCAGGGGTGCTGGGCTGCTGTGTCCCAGAGAAAGTGGTGTCCAGTTAGAGACTTGAGAAACCAGCAAGATCTAGCCAGGCCCAAGAGGAGGGTGTACTTGAAGAAGATGCTTAAGAGGAAGCCAGTGAGCTGGTACAGGTCTGTAATTCTAGCACTGCAGAGCAGAGGCAGAGGCAGAGGCAGGAGGCTTTTGAATTCAAGGCTAGCCCTGTTTGTAAATAAGGACCTGTTTCGGCAAAAATAAAGGAAGACAATGAAGAAAGGAAACCCGGTCCCTACAGCTTAGTGTGGCTCAGCTTGTGGAAGCGCAGGCAAGGGGCGAGGCGGGAGAGCCTGAGAGGACCCTGCCACCAAAGGCCTTGCCCACCACCCACAAAGTGGGAATTCACCTCAAATGCAGGAGGAGGATGTGTTTTCATCAGCGAAGTGGCAAAGCTTGTCCACTCATCTACTCTCCATGGATTCCAAACAGAACCGGAAGCCTTCCCAGACAGAACTGGGAGTGTGGGCCTGGTGTCCCTCTGAGGAAAAAGACACCATGTTTACCTCTAGAGAATAAGGTCAGGGACTCATGCTCTTGGTTTTTGTTTGTTTTGGTTGTGGTGTTTTGGTTTCGTCTTTTGACAAAACAGGATCTCATGTAGCCCAGGCTGGCCTTGAGTTTACTATATAGCTAAGGCTGGCCTTGGGCTCCTGATCCTCTGGCCTGGCCTCCCAAGTACCGAGATGACAGACACAGGCCTCCATCGTAGTTGCTCTTAACTAACATTGTCGCTAATGTCAGGAGTCCTCTCACACATGCCCAAACAAGGCCCTGAGCCCTTCCGAGTTGCCTTTCTCTCCCAGGCATCTCACTTGTTCTTGCTCTGATTGGGGGAGGGAGGGTCGTCCGAGGGGGACACACACCATCTGTGACTGACACCTCTGCACACTCAGGGTGGTTGAGGCATCTTGCCTCTTGGCGTGTGTTTTCTGATCCTTAGGTCTTTATGAGACTGGAAGTCTTAAACCCATGAGAGGGAAGTGTTTAGCCACATTCTTAGCTTGTAGTTAACACCATGGTTAGCACTTTACTTACTTAGCACAGATGCCTTTAGGCTGCTGTGTCTCATCCAACTCCAAAGCTTTTCACCTATCCAGCCCCAGCATCGGGGAGCCAAAGGAAGCAGAGAAACCCACTGGGTCCTCTGCCTTCTATAGAACCGAGTGCCACCCCTCCTGACCTGGCTCCCTCCAGCGCAGCCCCAGCCTTTACCACCGCCCTCCACGACAGCCTCCAGCTTATCTTGAACCAGGCATATGGCCAGACACAACTCACAGATCCTTCTTCCTGTGCCCTTGCCCTTCATTTCTGGGAAGCCAAAGAGGATGAAACTGACAGATATCTACGCCGGGCTCCCACTGCTATACAGAAACTTATTTTAAATCTCAGTTCGCAGGCTTCCCTTTTGTTCACCGTTGATAACTCCTGTTACACAGCGGATGTGGTTGTGTGTCTTCTGAATCCTGTCTAGGATGCTCGAAAGAAAAGCCGAAGCCCAGAGAATACCTGCAAGGCCCGACACTAGCTGTCCTGCAGATGCTGATGGCTGAGGCCTCACTACCGCACCTCTCTGTCTTTTTCATCCTGTTCCTGGCACACCAGCTCCCCCTGCCAAGCGCATTCCTACCCCAGGGCCTTTGCCCCTGCTGGCTCCTCAGTTTGGAATGCCCTTTGCCAGACATCTATATATTTTTCTCTCTTCAGACTTCTTTTCTTTCTTACACGAAATGGCACCCTGGAACACCCCTCTTTTCTTCCTAGCACTCAGCAGCAGCCAACTTAAACACTCCACTTCTAATTGTTCCTTTCCCCCCACCTCCCCTCCACCAGGCTATAATTTCCTGAGGTCGCCCCTGCAGCAGTAGTAACAGAATCTGGCACATAGCAGGTGTCAGATGCATATTTTCTGAATGAACACAAACCTAAACAAACCCATTACCTCATTTGGTTCCCGCAGCAGCCCATTTGACAGACCAAAGAGGCTAACAACGCCCAGGTTCTCGGCAGCAGTTGCGCAGCTTGTGGGGTGGAGGCTGAGCTGGACCAGGAACCTGGCGGCGGCCCGCCTCTCTCTGCAGATGGCACATTCTTGTGCTGCGGAACGACTTCATACCGTCAGGATTTCCCCTGACCTTTTAGCCTGAGAGGAAATGATATCGCAACTGGAATACCCGAGGGCCGGGAGCTGGCAGCGCAGACCCCGGCAGCTGCAGGGGCTGTGTGAGCGCATTCTGAGCGGTCAGCCAGGCAGGATGCAGGGAGGCTCCTGTCCCCGCCTGGTGTTGGGGTCCTTTCTCTACAGGAGGCCAGGGCAGCTGCAGGCCCTGCCTGAGTCACAGCCATGAATGAAGCAGTCTGCCTCTCAGGAGTTGGTGCCAGGGCCGCACGCTGCCTCCGTTGGCGTGGACCTGGACACAACGTACCCATTAGACAGCGTGGTGCCAAACTCTACCATGCAGTAGAGGCACGGGATAAGGGTTGGCTTTTTGCCCAGGAGACCATGTCCTGGGCTCATTAACATGCACCTCAGCCTTGACTTCTTAAAAATGGGGTTATACTCTATATATCCCAGAATGTTCTAATCGGGGCAAAGGGGCTAGGGGCAGGTTGTTTATAAGTTTCAGGTTTCTTAATCAATGCAAAAAAAAAAAAATGCCTTCTTGTTTGCCAGTAGATTTTCCTCTGAAGGCTTTGATATGGTTTCGTGGTCATTGTGTCTCCTGAACATAGATCTGCGCCTTGTGCCCTACTCAGAATCCATTGGTGGCCCTTTTCAGTCGTCACCTCCAGAAGCTCCCAGCCCCTCCTGTCAGCACATGCTGAGTTCGGTCTTCAGAACTTGCAGTTAGCTCCTCCACTGTTATATCTAGCGCGTCGTCTAGAGAGTACAAGTGCTGAGACAGGAGCCCTGTCTGCCTTGTTCCTGGCTGAATCTGTTTCCGGGACTGCACCCGGCACACAGAAGGATCGATTAGTACCTGGAGACCGCCATCTTTCCGGGGGAGGTGACTGCTGACAGGGTGTCCACAGACAGCTGCCCACAAACACTTTGACCCTTACTGCCATTGCTGGACGGTGCCAACGGAGTCCAGTTTATAAAAAAAACCCAGCAATGTTCTGAAGAAGTTTCTCCCTGTGTGGGAATCAGACACAAAAAGAAAGCCCAGGCCAGCAGTGCCTTGGTCATGCGCTCCATCAGGAGCTCAGTGGCCACACTGTACTCCACCTATGTGGATCTGACTCTGTGCGTCCCTATGAAATCATTGCAGCTTCTCTAGCTGGATAACAAGCTGATTTAGGCTCCCCACAGACTCTACAAATTCCACCCAGGGCGCCCTCGACTGATCAAGCAAGATGGTGGTCTCACTAATTTGTGAGTGGTTGTATAAAAGGGGAGCATTTATTGACCCAATAAACCTCAGTTGACCAAATCCTCGCTGCTCTGATTGTCACCCAGTGACCAGGTTTACTCCCTTGATGTGTTCTTATCTTTCTTTTCCTGTCCTCCTTCAGGTGGGCTCGAGGAGCCATCTGCAAGGTGGCCAAACGTCACAGCCTCCAACACCAGCGTCCAGGCGACAGGAAAGGGTAATGTATGTGAGGCCCCACCAGGCCTCTGAGGGCCCTTTATTTTAGTTTTCTTTCAAATTATGGCAAATTTTGATAAATACTCTAAATCAAGAGCTTAAACCATTTCAAAGTATGCTGTCTAGTGGTATTAGGCACATTGACAGTGTGGTGTGACCGTCTTCATCTAGTTCAGGTCGCTATCATCAGTCCCAAAGAAGACCCTGTGCCCATCACAGGTACCACAACGCCCCTAGATCTCAGCTTTCAGTGTCTTTTCTGAAGCTTGGACCTTCCTGTATCAGCGGCTGGATCTGGCATGCTCAGAGTCAGCAGTGGGTGTGCACGAGAAACGTTTCCTTTGGTGGTCTGTCTTGCTGTGGCTGAGGTGGGGATTGGGGTGGGTATGGAAAGCTGTCTTGCTGTGGAGGTGGGGCACGGAAAGGCAGGGTAACTCTGCCTTCTAGGTTCTAACTGGCTTATGAGTTGAAGGCCTGAGAAGAAAATGACAAGACTCAGAAAACTATGTGTTTCAGAGAAGCAGAGGGCCCATGAGGCAAGCAAAGATAGCAGATCTGTGGTGGGGGTGAGAAGCCATGTGGTCTGGAGTCTTTGGCTGCCCAGGGAGTAATAAGGTCTTCCCGGAAGCACTCCCGTGACCTCTCTACATGCCAAGATTCAGAGACCGAAGGACCAGGCAGCCCTAAGAGCTTCTGAAGGTTCCTGGACATATCTCAGCTTTGGAGAAGTATTTTCTGCTCAGAGCAGGGCTGGAATCAACCACAGTACAAAGGAGTCATTTTCAAACGCTGGAATCCTATGTTTTAAAAATGCCTCTGTAGGGATGAAATAGAAATCATTATTTGTTATAGTTTATTATTTTGCCTTAATATTATTTCCTCATATATATGCATTCCTACAAATGCCTAAATGGGTTGATATCATCACATCTTGATCTTTTGCCCCTTATTTTGGCTACTTCCCTCACAGTCATCCTTCCGTTCTTCCCAAATAATGATGTTGTCTTCACCTCCCTACGTGTTTTCCTGAATGCACTTGTGTAGCAGGGTTTTCTTTTGGGCCACAGCCAGCTCTTAAACCAAGACATAGAACACAGAGACTTACTAGTTTGGAATGCTCAGCTTTAGCTTAACTTTTACTTTAATCTGTTTCCTTTATTTATATTTTGTCTTGGGGATTTTTACTTTCCTTCCTTCCTTCCTTCCTTCCTTCCTTCCTTCCTTCCTTCCTTCGTTTCTACCTTTCTTTCTGTATGTCCTGCTTTCACTACTCCTGTGTAGCTGGCTGACTTCTGGACCCAAGCATGCCTTTCATTCTCTCTCTGTTCTTTTCTCTTCTTTGTCTTGATTTCTCTTCCTACTTATTCTGTCTGCTCACCAGCTCCTCCTGTCCCTCCTAGCCATTGACTGTTCAGCTTTTAATTAGACCAGTCAGGTGCCTTAGGCAGGCAAGGTGAAACAGCCAACACATCTTTACATTAAACAAATGCAGCATAAACAATTGTAATACATCTTTACAGGGTTAACAAAGGCAGCATAAATAAATGAACACACCTTTACTCAGTTAAAGTAATATTCTGCAATATAAACAAATGTAACATCTTTATATAGCTAAATGTTCCACAACACATTTGTGTTGTTATATGAACACATGTATGTATATATATGCATGCAATCAACATATATACATGTATAGTTTTTGATATTATTTTTTAAAAGAATTACATTTTATACACATTTTTATGGGTACAGTCAACTTTATTTATGGTATTCAAGAGAGTAGGGCTCCCTAAGCCCCTCCTGTTAGACTCTGGGGGTCTGGGATGGAAACTGTGAGGGAGATGCTCAGTGTGAGGGGCTGAGTTGGGACAAGGGCTGCTTAGAAGCTGAGAGCCTCTCTCTTGCTGTGTCCTTGCTGGGATGGGTGGTTTAGGGCAGCTTTTTTTACTCCTTGGAGGTCATGTAGACCATAAGGTCCACCACTCTGTTGCTGTAGCCGAATCCATTGTCGTACCAGGAAATGAGCTTTACAAAATTATCATTGAGAGCAATGCCAGCCCCAGCATCAAAGGTGGACGAGTGGGAGTCACTGTTAAAGTCACAGGAGACAACCTGGTCCTCAGTGTAGCCCAGAATGCCCTTTAGTGGGCCCTCGGATGCCTGCTTCACCACCTTCTTGATGTCTCCACACTTGGCAGCCTTCTGGAATATGGAAGGCCATGCCCGTGAGCTTCCCGTTCAGCTCTGGGATGATTTTGCCCACAGCCTTGGCAGCACCAGTGGATATAGGGATGATGCTCTGGGCAGCCCCACAGCCATCTCGCCACAGCTTCCCAGAGGGGTCATTCACAGTCTTCTTGGTGGCTGTGATGGCATGGACTGTGGTCATGAGTCCTTCCACAATGCCAAAGTTGTCATAGATGACCTTGGCCAATGGGCTAAGCAGTTGGTGGTGCAGGAAGCATTACTGACAATCTTGAGGGAACTGTCATACTTCTCATGGTCCACACCCATCACAAACATTGTGGCATCTGCAGAAGGGGCAGAGATGATGACCCTTGTGGCCCCACCCTTCAAGTGGGCCCCATCCTTCTCCATGGTGGTGAAGACACTGGTTGACTCCACAACATACTCGGCGCCGGCATCACCCCATTTGATGTTGGTGGGATCTTGCTCCTGGAAGATGGTGATGGCCTTCCCATTGATGACGAGTTTCCCATTCTCAACCTTGACTGTGCCTTTGAACTTGCCATGGGCGGAGTCATACTGGAACATGTAGACCATGCAGTTGAGGTCAATAAAGGGGTCACTGATGGCAACAACGTCCACTTTGCCAGAATTGAAGGCAGCCCTGGCAACCAGGCATCCAATACGATCAAATCTGTTCACTCTGTCCTTCAGCATCGTGTCTCAGGAGTGAAGCTGGCACTGCACATAAAGATGCACTTGTCTCTAGAACAGGAGGAGTAGAGAGTCCGTTTCATATACATTTTAATTCATCATGCTTTATCATTAATATCTCATGGAAAACTCCAAAGAGCTTGTGATTAATGATTAATTTGTTCCTTTGAACAGTTGCAAAATATTCCTAGTATGGATAATAGTTTGTTCAATTATTCCCTTTTTGTTACCATTTGCTCCCCTTCTAGCTCTTGCTGTGAGTTATGTCCGCAACAAACACATTACTTAGCACGATTTAATTATTTTTTGTTTTTAACTATGTGTATTCATATATGTCTCTGTGAGGCTATAAATATATGGGTAGGTGCCCATGGAGACCAAAAGAGAGTGTTGGATCCTCTAGATCTAGGAAGAAAGATGACAGGATTTGGGGAACTGTGTCTCAGAGAAGGAGATGATCCATGAGGTAAGGACAGACTGTAGATCTGGGGTGGGTGGGAGGTCATGTAGAATATTGTTGTGAGTACCTCACCTGACCTGGATACTAGGAACCAAACTTGTGTCCATTGCAAGAGCAGTATTCCTAATCACTGGACCATCTCTCCAGTCCCACTTAGCATGTTTTTTCATAGATGTTGCAATACTGAGTGTCTCCAGGAATAACAATCCATGTTTCCATAATAACTTACCCCCAGAGCCTCACTAGTACCAGGCATTCTAACCCAATAAGCAATAGCTTATGATTACTTAATTTATGTTTCTCTCTGATTGCTAAAGGTCTTGAGTATCATTTCCTGTGTTTTCTAGTGATCTGGGTGTTCATATTGGTAGTTCACTTCTTTGTATCCTTTGCTTATTTTCCTGTTGGGTTGCAGATCCCCTTCTTCAAATCACCTTCTTTTACAGAGAAGCAGATTCTTCACTTTACCCCACCATGCTTCTTGGAGGGCCTGCATTTGTTTTCAGCTGTTACCAGGACCGTAAACAGACAGACCTCGTTAGAATCTTTCTTTCTTTTTTGTTTTTGTTTTTGTTTTTGTTTTTTTTGGTCTGGGGCTATAGTTAGTTGGTAGAGTGCTTGCACAGCATACATGAATCCCAGGTTTGGTTCCCAGCACCACATGAACTAAGTGTCTTGGTGCAGGCCCATAATCCCAGCACAAGGGAGGTAGAGGCAGGAGGATCAGAAGTTCAAGGTCATCTTCAACTATACAAAATCTTGTCTCAAAATAATCAGATTAAAACAAATAAAATATGTACTTTTCTGCTTTGCTTATTTGCTGTTTAAAAACTAGGTCTTTATTAATATTTTGAAAACTTCATACAATGTAGTTTTTTTTAATCTTTTCCCCTCTCCACTAACTCCTCCCAGATACACCTCTCCCTACCCCACCCAACTTCACTTCATGTTCTCTCTCTCTCTCTCTCTCTCTCTCTGTCTGTCTCTAACCTATTGAGTTTAGTGTGTTGCCCAATTATTCTTGGGTGTGGAGCTTGCCCTGAATTGTGGTCACACCCTTAAAGAAAACTAACTCCCTCCCAACAGCTATCAAATGCCAATAGCTTCTCAGCTAGGAGTGGGACTTTGGACCCCACCCCCCACACTGGGATTTTGTCTGGCCTGAGATCATGCAGGTCTTATGCATGCTGTCACAATCACTGTGAGTTCATATAAGCCCCTGCCCTGGTTGTATCCAGAAAACATGGTTTCCTTATAGTCATACATCTACTTGGGTCCTTAAAATTCTTATACTTTCTCTTCCACGGCGATCCCTGAGTCTTGGGCTGCTGACGGGGAGGAGTGTGTTGTAGATGGCCATTTAGGGCTGAGCACTCAGAAGTCTTTCTTCTCTGCACATTGAGCAGCTGTGAGTCTTTGTGTTTTCTGCAAGAAGTAGAGCTGCACTAATCTACAGGTTAGAGCAACCTGTCCAGCAACAACTCATTAGGAGTTATTTTAATACTATAGCCTTTAAGCAGAACGGCATTAGTAGATTCTTCCCTAGGAAATATTTTCTATCCCACAACAGGTACTTGTTGCCAAGTATGGGTTCCAACTCACGGAGCTGGCCTGAAATCCAACCAGAAAATGGTTGGTTG